TATATATATATATTCTCTCGTGTAGGAATGAATGTGTGTTTTTCTTTTTTCACATATTTCTAGATTTCTTCTCTTTAGAAGTAAAGTCAGGTCATGGACTTTTATCCTTCAGATTATTCTAGAAAAAAGTTTAAGAGATTAAACAAAATATAAAAGTTTTTTCGATACTTTGCTGGTACTGGAAAATTGCAATAGGGTTTTTGCTACTCAACACACTGTAAAAGACTTAATTCTGATAATTTGTGGTTTAGTAGTCTGGTAAATAAAACATACTCACTCTTACGGTTTCGCCCTTTTCCATTCTGCTGCACTGTATGGGTAGTCATAGTAATGTTTTCATAGCATTCCTGAATGCACTCCTAAAATTTTATTTAAAAAAAATGGAGAATAAAGAAAGTAAGTAAAAATCCTGTAAGCAACATAGAGAATAACTCATTTTTTCTGATTTTGTTTCATTTTGTCACCTACCCTCACACAACCATCCCTTTTTTCTCAAAACCCTTCTATATAATCTTCTAAAAATTCAAGTAGTTATTTTCTTGATCTTAACTACTTTCAAGGTTTTTTACTCTTAAACATTATTGATTGCACTACTAAATGCAAGAGTTCTGTTAGAAAATGCGACCATTTTTGTTTTGAAATCCCACTCAACAGTGCTTTTTTAAATGTTCAACAGCTCAAGATGTATCGCAACTGTATGCATATACGAGTATCAGGGCGTCCCATTTTGACGTTTCAGACAAATTTTCGAATTTCAGAATACTTAAACCATCATAAGGTTTGTTTTAGTTTTCTGTATAAGGAACTAAAAAAATATCCAACTGTCACTTTGAATTTTTGATTTTTTTCAAATTTTTGACGGAATATTCACGACAGACATCCTTATAAGATAAGACATCATTATTTTAAAACTCTTGACTCCTTAAAAATTTGGTTTTGAGATTCTCTATTCGGAATAAACGAAATCATGGTATCCCTTTATTTTTAAGCATCCCTTACTTGCATTGGAAATTTAGTTTTTTTTCCAAACATTTATGGTCGGCTTTACTGTTGCTATTTCTTTACTGTTGACAGAAATTAAGCTAAATACCTGTCAAATGTTTTTTTTTTCATTTTAACCTGTGCATAATTAAACAAAAAATTTTAATTTGCCTTAGTTTTTTGGTATTATCTATTTAATTGCCTGCTTTAATTATAAATCTTAAGGTTTTTACAAAGTAATCTAATTTAGTATTAATGTTGTTTTTTTACCATTTTTCTTAATTGTATTTTTATTCTAATAAACCCATCTCCTTTACTCCTGATCACTAACTCTTTCCCATGCTACAATTTTTTTTTCTTTCGAAAGTGTGGTATGCGAATTCAAATTTTTAAATTCTTAACCTTTAAAAAAGAAAACTGTCTTTGGATAAAAAAAAGTTCCCTTTGTTAAAGGGAATTAAATGACATTTTTATCAACGGTTTGAAAGTTATATACATTCATCACCTCTGATTTGGCGAAAAATTTTAAAGTTAACTCTCATTACAATTTTTAAGAAACGTAATTATCTATTTCTGAGTTATTCTTTTACAGACTATAGTTTTTCTGACTTCTTCAAAATTTTGATCAGTATCGGTTGAAATAAAAAATAATATTATTAAGAGATAATTCGATGTTGAAACAAACAAGCAGCTAAAATGGGTGACAACACTCAAAATAAAGTTAATTCATTTATTTCATTCGCTTATCTTTTTACATATTTTTTAGTTCAATTTATGTTTTGAAATGTGATTAGTTATGGAGAGCTCTAAACAGTAATGAATTGTGATAAGGGTGAAAACTAATTCTAATCTTGAGAAAAAAGAAGAAAAAAGTCTCCAGATCACCCAACCTATTCCCTATTCTCAGCCTAAATATAACATCCGTGAAAGGACACACGGGTAGTTTTCTGAGATTCGTTATGATTCAAAAAAGAGTTTTATTTGCTATCGGTTATCCATTCATAATGTAGTAATAGTGAAGAGGAAGTAAGTAAAAATACAGTCTTACCCTTTTATTTGTGGGTCCATAACCTCCTCTTGCTTTCCACTTTTCTAAATAATCAATGCAATTTGTGTCGTATGGATAAGGAAGCAAATTCTTCTCAATCTAAATATATATAAGTTATTCTTAACAGTATAGTATAAAAACGTATAACAAATATGAACTTTGTGATGAAAGTATATTTTTACCATTGTTAGTACATGGTACAAACATGATTTTAAGATATTGGAGCATTTTATAATGTGGAAGAGGAAAGTTTAAAGAAGTATATTAAATTTGTGATCTAGACAAATGAGACATTTTTCCAAAGTATTATTTTATACTGAATCAAATTAAACCGGCCATGAATCGGTGTGAATAATAGCTTAGAATTAATCAAAAATTATTTTGCAGAAAGTGAAAATATTGTTAGATTCCGATTTGCGCATTTAAAATTTTATGATTACTAGTAATGTAATTTATCCTATAAATTTTTTACGCTTAACCTATTGAGGTCAAAATAAAGTTTAAAAAAAACAAGTTAGTTCAAACATCTTTGAAAGTTTTATCTAAAAAAATACATTTTCGTTCTTATGTTTATTATAAATATATAGCAATGTTTATTTACACAAAAAACAAGCATACAAACTCTTTCAAAATTTGATTTAAAAAGAAACATTGGATACCCAACTAAAGTAATTAAATCCTATATTAAATCATTGAGTTAATTGTATACTACTGTAAATAAATTTACTAAAAAACATGTTCTTCGTTGATTTAGAAAATTTTTACCATGTGCAAATCCATGGCTAAAATCATGTGCAAAACAGGCGATTCATGTTTCTTTCTCTTTTCTATTTTACTTTATATGTTTCTTAAATAAGGGTTAATTTTATGAAATTATTAATTGTCAACTTCTTTAAATTATCCAGTATAATATTACCTTGCACACATCTATTTTCGGGCCCATCCTTGGTAACTAACAATTCTAACGCACTTCAGTACTGCAATGAGAACGCACTATAAAACAAAATCCCTCTGTTTACGCTTTTACCTCAATTTCGGCTTCTATTTTCATATTTTGTTATCTAGCAATCTTGTTACTAAAATATTTCAACTCACTCTTGAAAAAATTTCCCGTTCAGATGCAAGTTCATTTGAATTCGCTACTCATTTTAAATATTTCGTTTCATGTTTTATTCTGTTTTTTCTTTATATTTTATTTTAAATTTTAATTCGCAACAACCTTTTGTGTTGTTATAAATTAAAATTCAAGTTAGTTTGTGCTAAACTAACTAAAAAATTTAACGCTAAGCAATTAAAAAATATCCTCTTTCAAACGTTTCTTCGGCAACGATAAAATATCATTTTTGAATGATTTTCCTTTCCCCCCCCCCCCCAAATTTCAGGACCGCATTACAGAAGTGGATTTATGAGAGAAATGTATACACACAAACAAACTCCTCCTTGACTCAATATAGACAGCATTTGTAATTCTATATTACAATTGGAAGCTGAGGTTAAGAAACATATTTCAACCTGTCCAGCATCCGAACAAAAGTAATGCTTGTTGGGAAAATAATGCTTATACCAAACTCAGTTAATTATATCAAACTCAATTTCATGCATTTAAGATAATGAAATATTTTTGATTACTTTCTTCAAGCGAAAAGAATAACTTTTTCCCATCTCCATTGAAAATCCTTGTTCATAGGGATCTACTATTTGTCGAGAATTGTGGAATGATATTTGTGCTTTAGATTGATAGATAAATGGCGGATATCCAGTTGGGTCCACATCCAATCTAAGGGCAAAAGCTGAAAATTTACGAACGTTTATTTTAACAGCAGCAACTAAAAATAGCAGTTTATAAATTCGTATGTTACAATCAACTTCCGAATTAAGTCTTTTAGGTTAAGTAATACTACATACAATTTCTTTTTGTTACTATTTTGCTTCGATAGTAGAATAATAAATTTTTAAAATTTAAGTTTGGACCAAGAAACTTGTAAAGAAGAGTAGAAAAGCTGATAAATGAGCATTAAAGAATAACAGTTTGAAGATTCTTAAACGAAACCTCCCAGAAAGGAGAACGCGTTCACACAAGTGACCTTAAACAAGAAATCTGGTCCTTTTGTAGTCCGAATGCTGCTCTCTGCCCAATTTAGTTACTGATGTTCATGACATTTTTCACTATTTATATTCCTGCCTTCGGGCTCTTAAATAAACCGTGTAAAGGACTTCTCTCTTCCATAATGTGTTAACTTAACAATTTAGCTGTTTTAATGCTAATTGCTTTTCTAACTCTATTTGCTAGCATCCAGACAATCTTTGATATTTGTTAGCATGCAGTGAATCTTTATTGTTTGCTGATTACACCCAAACTTTCTGGTTATAGAGCGCTCGCCATCCAATGAAGTGAACTGGGTACGGATCTCAGCGATGGTTAGTTGACAAATAACCTCAGTTTTAGCTGGATCATGGGTTAAAGTCCCTTTGTCATCATGCTAACCGTGAGTGGTTTTCGTGGTTTTTCTATTTCATATAACGTAAATGCGAGTTAGTTACATCAAAAAGTCCTCTACGAATGCAAATTTCTCCCAATACTTGATCTAGGAGTTCCCTTTATCCACTGGATTAGGTTCAAAACTACAACGATGGACATTGGTAGTCGCATACTCAAAATTGAGTCCGCTATTCAACGAAGGTTCTAGAATAAAAGATATCTTTGCTATTTGTTAATATATGCAAGCAATATTTGCTCTTTGATAGCAAGCAGACTATTTTTTTATAGCATGCAAATAATCTTTGCTATATACTAACTTGCAGGCAATCGTTGCTATTTGATAGCTTGCAGGCAAAACATAGAGAACAAAATGAAACATAAAAAACAAGAGTACATGGTAGGACTTAATCGAAACGTAGCATTATGTCCAAAACAAGGTGAGCAAATACCATATAGCGAGATATTTTGTCCAAAAAAAAAAACTAGTAACGGGCTACAAGCTCATTATATTAAAATGTAAATTTCGAAAAATTTCTGATTGTAGTTTTGATTTCGCTATTAAAGCTCTAGTTTATAAAATATTTGTGAATTACAGAGTTATGCAAGCGTTTTTGTAATTTAAAAGGTAAAAAAGAGAAATTTCGTTCGAGTATTAATTCTAATCTTTAAATTTTAGTTACTTAAAATACAGAGATAATGCTTCCGAGGAAAGCGACTAAGTGCAACCCTTTACAAAATTATAGCACTTCGGCTGTAAGATGAAGTGCTATAATGCGTGGCGACTAAACAGCTACAGAACATGATGATTTAAATATGATAAAAATTAGAACTTTAAGTTTTTAATAATTCAAAACTTGACTATTAATTGACGAAACTCGGACAGAATAAATTTTACTAATTACTTTCCATTTAAAAACACCTGTGTGTGAAAAAGTATTCAAAATGATTTGCGAATTACGCGACGGGTACCTTCCTTGTTAGAATTAAATTTCCCTTTGTTGGAAAATAAGTGAAGTCATATGGTCAAGAACCAAAATTACTTTGAATTAATGTTGATTTTTAAAGTTCTTTCATCAACAAAATAATTTGACAACATTAAGATCGAAGTAAAGTTTTACTACTATAATATTTATGTTGAGGGACAATAATTGAAATGCTGCTATCTAAAGGTACGTAGGCAATCTTTAAAAAGCAAAATTAAACATTTAAAACTTTGACGGATTATTTTTAACATTTCCTAAAATGGTAAAGTGTTCCATTGAAAGCTATATTTACTGCGATTTTGCGTAAGAACAATAATATATTAATCCTAGGATATGATATTTTGTCAATATGTTAATTGTATGAAATGGATATGGCAAATAACACTGAGTGACAATTTTGTTTTTGCTGCTGCATGAGCTTTTTTTAAAATAGATCAAAGATACTGTAATCACGGATTTCAAATTTTAATCGGCTTCTCTCACCAAGCTACAACTTTATTAAAATGTCATTTTAAGTTTTCTTAAAATGTCATTTTTAATTTTTTTTCTGTTGAAGTGTACACATTTAAAAACATTATCTATAGTAGAGGGTAGCATAAAAAATGCAGCAGACTACTAGGGTAGTTAGAGCAAATTAACATTATTAAAATTGCATAAGAGCCCATGCATAGGAATTGCTTAGGATACCCAGTAAGTTGTCTGTGACTTGGGGCGCTTCCTCAGTATAAGCTGTTTCTTCGGTTGCTTTTGAACAGATTACAATTGGCCTAGCCACGAATGAGAGCATTTCTGGGCATAGGCTCCTACGCACTTTTAATCGTGATTATGTGCCCTAATTTTCCACAAAGCTTGTCGCAACATTAACGTGACCTCCTGTTTGATATAAAATTTTTAAACTTGTGCATTTTCGCACAAAATAGACTAAAAATGTTATTAAAAAAATTGTAGTCTTATGATCAAAACTAGTTTTAGATTTGCAATCTCTATGTCTAAATTAAGTGAGAAAAAGCATGTGTGTAAATGCAGGAAAAAAATTTGTTCTCCAGTGTAATAAACTGTACGAAAAATGGTAATGACTACATTGTTGCTTTTTAAGATGTATCAGGGCATGAAAATCCACTTCTAAAGTAATAGCCAAACTAAACAATTTTTACGCCATCCTTTTCCCCAAAAATAGTTTTGATGATAGAGCGCGCTGAAAAGGGAACACGTGTCGCCTTCTGAATACTCTTCGGCCACAATATTTTTCTGAATATTCCAGTCCATTCTGAAAAGAATATAGAAAGAAAAAGCAAATAAAAATAAAAGTAGGATTCAATTCTAGCCCTGAGCTGTTTGAATGCATTTCCAAAGAGTCAAAGTCTATTTAGGTGTGGAAGAAACTATTGTCCAAGGATACCTCTTGGAGTTAATAATTATACAGCCCCTCGTCTTCCTTTGGGCAGATATTGCCGCTTAAGCAACGACAGAAACAGGACTGATACTAAAATACCTTATGATATTTTCAAGCCAAGCAACAAACTCGGTCAGGGAAGGGATCAATTTATAGAAATTCTGAGTAAATTATCAATTGACGCAATCTTCAAAGAGTTTTTGTAAACTGTTTTTTATCTATTGTGACAGATAAAGCCTCTTTCACAGGAAGATATGATAAAATACCGTGATCAAGTACTAATAATTATATTTACCTCCTAACACTCTTCTATAAAAAAGTATTTACCTCCTTCCTAAAGTCTGGAACTATAGCCCTTTATTTTTAATATTTGCGTACTGGCAACTCGCAACTTTGGATGTGAATGATACCACTGGTTGTGAAGAGACAATCACGTGACCACGTACATGTGGTCATAGTCTGGAAGGGCTTAATCAAGAATCATTATATTATAAAAACATCAATCATTTATAACAGCCAAAAAAGTTGATAAAGTTATAATTTGTGCTTTATAAAAAATTAATTAATCGCCAACTTGCATCATATTTTGGACGGAAAGAATGCACTCTTATATTCCAATTGTAATTATCTCAATACCCATCCTCTCAATCTTGACAAACTTAATGACTAAGGACCTTAAGACTATGCGGAAATATTTTTAAAATTATGAAGATTTCAGCTGGCCTAGAAAATGAAAAGAAAAAAAAACTCAAATTAACTCAATAAGTAAAATATCTCAATGTTTCTGGAAACTTAATATTTCTTCAAACTTCGTTTTCGCTTTGAAAAAATCGAAGTTTAATGTTTCAAAGTTTGTCTTCGTCTTGCCTTGCCTTTCTTGCAAGCTGCGGAAATCATTCTAGCCCAACCTGTTTATATCCAGGTTTGTTCTGGAATCAGGTTGAATATTTACATGCTGTTTTGTAGATTCAATAGTTTTGTAGATTCAACTGTTTTGTAGATTCAATGTTCAATAGTCTTGTAGATTCAACTGTTTTGTAGATTCAATGTTCAATTGTTTTGTAGATTAGAAAAAACCATTCATGTTCCATTCATGGATTTTTATTATACTTAGCTTGCAAAAATTAATGTGGCTATTTGTCGTCTGTTTGAAAACATTTGAGCTCGTGAAGGGGGGTAATCAGTGATAAGTTGCTAAAAAATTTGTTAGGCATAAAAAAGAAGGTAAGGAACAAAAATCTGTAGGCAAGTTCATCTAATGACTGAAGACATTTTTCTAAATGATATAAATATGATGCTAGTGTTCAGTGATGACGCGGACAATTGTAAATTATTTGGCATTTCGCATCAACAGCCATATTATATTTGCTGAAAACCTCTCCTCGAAAGAAATAGGAACAAAATATACTAAGCTAAATTTTTAGTCCATCAAGAATCGTTATCTATAGAATTCAATGATTATATTTTGCTTTATCATTTTTTTTAAGAAAATCCCATTGAATCAATTCTTGTGTGCGTATTGGTGGTCTTAAAGTCATGTGCAATTCCCTGCTTTATTCATGACTTAAAATGTTGAAAGAAAAGTTAAAATCTATCGTTGAAAAACATGCTGAGTGACTGTTCACTGATTGTTGTGTCTGAGAAATTCAGTTTAAATTGTTAAAGCAAAGAAGTTGATTAGAAAACATATCTTTCTTTTTAAAAACTATTTACTAAAAAGTTGTATTTATAAGAAATCGTGCTCTAAATTCCAGAATACTGATGTCAACTAATATGTTTTCCACTTTACTCTTGAATTACTTACTAGCTCCGTAATCTACAGTTCCGTACTCTACAGTTTCTGAGATGCTGTCAGGCTGTCCAATCAGGGAATTGAAAGTAAAACAGGAACTGACAATTGGAGACTCGGTTTTCGGGCTAAACATTGAACGTGTAAAGCAATCCCTAAAAAGCAATATAATTAATGCTTGTAAAATTTAATTTTTCTCAATCAGTTTTCAATTACTATTACTTACTAGTTTAGAACTAAAGTAACTTAAGTGTAAAGACTACGTAAATAAATAAGCACAAATATATTAGATCTTTATTTTAAAAACAGGAAAGTATTCTCTGAACAGCCCGCTGTGGGCCAAGGGGTCATGGTGGATGAGATTAAATAATTTCAGGACCAACGGCATGATTGCGGCAATGTGGTCACCAAGCCTTTTTTCCATTCACGCTGGTACCCATCACTCTAAAGATGGGTGAATTTCAAGTCGACACTGGGGATTAAACCCTGATCCATCACAATGATGGTTCAGTGCCTTATATATTTGTATTAAAGGAATCCGAATCGAAAACTTAAAATAAATGAAGGTTTAGGGGAAAATACACTCTTTAACAAAAAAATCGACGCACCAAGAAGCAATCATTCGATTGCTTTGAAATTTCGTATAAAATGTTTTGAAGAGATATGGCTGGAATGATGCCAACTGGGGACGTATAGTCTTTAGCGACGAATCCCGCTTCCAACTCTGTCCTGACGATCATCGATGACGTGTTTGGAGATTCACAGGGCAGAGGGGAAATCCTGCCTTCACTAGTGCACGCCACACCGGCCCTCACCAAGGCATTATGGTCTGGGGTGCCATTTCTTATGACAGCCAGTCCCGTTTGGTTGTCATTAGAGGTACACTTACTGCACAGCGGTACGTCGACGAAATCCCAGGACCTGTTTTGCTACCGTTCCTTTTGCAGCGCCCTGGGCTGGTCTTACAGCAGGCAATGCCAGACCACATACGGCACGTGCTGCTATAAACTGTCTGCAAGCTTGTCAAACTCTTCCTTGGCCTGCAAGATCACCAGATGTCTCCCATCGAGCATGTCTGGGATATGATGGGAAGGCGATTGCATCTGGCACGGAATGTTGATGACCTCGTTCGACAATTGGATCGAATTTGGCAGGAAATACCGCAAGAGACCATCCGGGAGCTTTATCGGTCTATGTCACGCCGTGTGGCAGCTTGTATCCAGACTAGAGGTGGGTCAACACCTTATTGAACTTGTTACTGTAAGTCTTCAATAAATTATTCAATTTTAATCACTTACTGTTCTGTACATTGTCTTCCTATCCACCAATTTTCCTTTCAATCATACAACTCCTTCTTGGTGCATCGATTTTTTTGTTATAGAGTGTATAATATGAAGTGTGCTACTAGAAATTAAATAGTTGAATAACTGAAAAGTATAATTTTAGAACTTCTACATATTCGATCCTAATAATCTCAAAAACGGAATCAAATTGGAAGTAGTAATACTACTGATGCATGGTAATAATGAGAAATCGTTTTAACTAAAATGGTGTAAATCTACACTCTTTTACCTCTACAATCCTCTTAATATGACGACTGATAATTATTGCCCCATTTATTAGAAGAAATGTTGCTTCAATGCTCTGTAAAATGTGCGAACTAAACCGGGGCGGTTTAGTTCGCACCGAAGTTGCGAACCGAACCGAAGTTGGATGTCATTTTTCAAAGAATATCGCATCAGATGCATGTTTTGATGGGGTATTCCATTAGTGAAAAAAAAAAGTTTAAAAAAAAGTAATAAAATATCGATTTATTTTTATGTAATCACTCGTTAAACTTGAAATATCTTGAATTTATTTTAAATTATGGTAAAGTGACATGATCCTCTAGATTTTTTTCTCTGTGTGAGCCTGACATATGTTCAGAAGTTTGAGGAACATGGATTGTGCTGCATTGTTTATATCCACAACAGTGTATACTGAACGGTTTTGCGGAATTTTGCATAATCACTGCTCATAATCATAAAATGTTTCTATGTTTTAAGTACCCTAAAAACACGAACACACAAAATGTTTTCTCATCGAATGATTGTAATTTCACATACAGTGCCTTTTCACATAATTTTAATATTTTGAAGGTCGAACCAAAATTGTGCAAATTGTTCAAAATTGTGCAAAATGTGGTCGAACTAGGGCTCGAAGAAAGTCAGAAATTTTACCCACCCCCGAGGACAGCTTGTCCAACAATGTACCCGTCCTCCTTTGAAACTAACCCGTAGCTTCTAAATAAATAAAAATATAATTTTCTCTTATTTATTACAAACATTTATATAAATTGCACAACGAATTAGTAGTTACTAGGATTACAAATACTAGGTTACTAATAGTAAAACATAGTATTTCTTTTATGAAATAATTTAAATAACAAAGGTCAAGTTATCTGGAATGTCAATTTATCCGAGGGTACTTCGTTTTTTAAATGAAACAAATATGACGTTTGCCAGTTCCACAATCAAGCCAATGATTTACAGAGGTTTCTACACAGAAATCTGAAAGGGGTTTTCCATTTAGGTGTATGCTCATAATTGTTTTTAACGCCTCTTGTTAAAGACTAGTACGTAATGTGTTTATTTTTGTAAGCTCATTGCTGCAAAGCCTCTTTCAACCACTGCAGTACTCCCAGACAGAGAAAACATCAATTCCACCAAGCGCATTATGTTGCAGTATTTCTAGATTAGAGGGTCATTTTACAAGTGAGGCGCTAGACTCTTGTAAGATAACGAAAATTGAAAATGTATCACGAATATTAACTGGAAAATTAACTGGTCGGATTCGAGAAATTTGTTGTCCGCAGGGAATTTTTGACCGCCGAGGACGGGCGGACGGGTGATATTTTTCGAACCCTGAGTGAGACGATATTTTAAGTTATGAAATCAGACACAAAAACATTTTCTTTGAACAAACATTTCTTTTTCTCTATGCATTTGGGTTCTTGAACATCAAAATATATATACCGGGATAGCCTGGTCGGTAGGGCGCTGGGCCCATGTCTGGAGTTCGTAGGTTCGAGCCCTGCCGGCCGAAGACTGATGCAAATTAAATCTGTCGAGTCGCAAAAGTCCTCTATGTTCCCATAAAAAATCAATACCTCTGGAGGTACTGGATTGGAGATCGTTCGTTCTCTGATTCAGGTCAAAGTTACGATCTGTGGATGAATGAATTGATTTATGAATGGATCCACCCTATAAACGGGTGCGACGTATGGTGTAGCAAAAGTCGAATTCTTGGTCATAGATGGCGCCACTGGAAAACAAAAACAATCGCACCCCCTTTGCCTAAACAGGCATACGTCAACAACAACATCAAAATATGAAAAACAAGGTCAGAAAAGTTTAAGTAGGACAGTGTTTGAAAGTTTGAGCCCCTTAATAATAATTTTAACATGTGTATTTCTGAGTCATTAAATATAGACGTATTTTTCCATATCTATAGAACATTTGAATTGAACCAAAACTTTTTTGCATTCATTTATAAAAAAATTTTATCTAAAGATTATTTCATTCAAAAAATTTCTTAAAATTATTTTTTTACATTACTTAATTTATTTATTTCCAAAAAAGTTTAATTTTCAGAATAATAATAATCCCGATTCCGCATAGTTCATGGGAAATCTAATTTTACAAAAAGTCGAATATAAACACTAGATTGCATAAGGAAGTCATTTTGACTACTTTAAATTTCAATTAGAAAAACAATGATGTACATAATGACGCGATTTCTTAGAATTTTGTGACTTTTTGTACAACATATAAATTTTTTTATTGTTAATATTTACTAATAGCTTGTTATATAACTGTAAATAATGTAAAAATGTTAAAGATTAATTTTAAACAAATTTATTTACTGTTCACAATCCTGTCATTTTGGCTGCGTTTGGGCAATGTAGGTATATACTAATTTTTCGTCTTTCTAGTGTTAAATATTAGAATTCTCAGGAATTTTTCAACCAATTTTGTTTTGTCTTTTAAAATAATATTTTTAAAATGGTGGGGAAAAAAACTGTATACTAATGTATACAGTTTTTTACAATTCAAAATTTTTTCAACTTTAATTAAATAAAATAAGAAATAAGAAATATTTTCTAAACGTTATTTTTAGTATGGAATTTTCATTGCATAAACTAATTTTATAATTGAGTAAATAATTTTTCACTTCGTTAAAAAAGTTATCGAGATATGGCATAATACGCAAAAGTAAAATAAGCATTATGATCCAAATTTTGGTCCGCTCCTCTGATCAAATTATGAGGAGCTTATTTGCCTGATTGTTTCTACTCTTTATATTTTGTTCGTCAGAAATCCAAATCCGTCAATAAAACTGTATGTTTATTCAGAGAAAGGACGTGTTTGTGTCTGATTTTGAAACTTTAAACATTATCTGCACTAATCAATGAGCATATAAAAGGTCACATTCTTGAACCATTAAGATTAAGTAAAAACGTGAAGATCCGATCGTTAGATCAAAAGCTATGCAGAGTGGTCAGCTTATTTTTACCACCCCGTACAATTTTTTTTAAAAATTTAATATGTTATTTAAAAATGTTATTTATTAACTTTAAAAACCGCTTGTTGCGTTATTATAAATTATTTCGCAATAAAATACACACGTTTTAATTTCTAGGATTTAATAATTTCTACATGCATTTAAATTTGCACGTAAGTTTACAATCCATAAGATTTTTCTGTAATCTATAAATTCTGAAACACCTCCAAAAAATTCCAAATTCTAAAGAGCTATAAATCACGTAGAATATAACTATTATCCTGACACAAATAAAACACAATGATTTCAATGTTTTGAGTATTATCTTTGCAATTTATGTTTTCAATTAAATATAAATGGATTTATAAATTGAATTGTAAGCAGTACAACTAGTCTAATTATTTATTTCTGCAACTAGCTTAGAAGCAAAAATAAATCAGGAGCAGTAATCAGGAAATCTCATTACGAAATTTCACCACTGCCGCCACTTCTGCTAAGGGTAAGCTTTATGGCACGTTCGGCTCTCGTGATTTGAGTGGGTATCAGTTTTGTCTCCGATTACGGGTCAAAGAATTATAATCCCCTCTATATCCTTTGTATTCTACATTCTTTGTATGGGTCACATGAAAATCCCCTCATATTCTTTGTACGAGTCACGTGATAATCGCTGGCAAAGCATTTATTTCCATTGATTCAATATTGATGCCACTATTTCCTCGTGTAAATTAAAGAAAAAAAACATCATTTGATGCTTATTTTCGCTGCTAGATGCTTCCTCTCGCGTATTTGTGAATTCGCATGCTTTTTGTTTTTCTTTCGTGAGATAAGCATTTATAAAAGATATGGATTTGCTGACTGGCAGCTGCGTTATATGTGGGAATAACAAACGATAATATCTTGATTATGAAGATAGTGATTCTGTTTCGGAGTATTCCATAACTCTGGGCATTTCTTTTATTTTTTCAAGTTTATTACAAAATTTGTGCAACATTTTTCGAGACAAGATGCTTACAAATGATATTCATCTGAAGATAAAAATATCGCATTAATTTTTTGAAGTTATACTTCTTATGCGACTTCCAACAAGGTTGCGTTAAACGTTTAACGCTACATTTTTATTGGCAGGGAAATCACGTGGTAGGATCCAGTTTTCCGTCATTCAATTCCATATTGTTTTGGTTCTCACTAGCATAAAAATAATAAAAGTCATAAAAGTATAGTTTTTCTATAAATATTTTTTTAGTTTGATTTGATGCACATATAATTCGCGATCGCAACGAACTATAGGGGGCGTTGTTGTATGAGACTAATACCTGCGATTTCTATATGAACAGTCATTCAGTTACTCTAGAGACGTCGTTAATGTAGCACGTAGCATTGCAACGTTCCTTCTTTATTGTGGCTAATTAAATTTAAAAAAGAAAAATGCTTGATATTCTTTCTTATGCAAACGAAAACAAAATGGTATCTCTTTTTATTAGAGAAGGAATATCCAAAACACATCGGAAAAATATTTGTACATTAACAGAAAAAAATATGTATATTCTTATAAGAGTTAAAACCTAATGCCCGAGAAATAGTATTACTAAATTTAATGATATAACATGAAAGGCCCATTTAAACTTTACATTCTATAGTTTTAAGAATCATATTACTTCAAAAATTAAAATGAACAAAAAGTATACATAAGCCTCATAATTTTATGAAATTTAATTTTGTAAACAAAGTTTTTTGACAACAATTTTTATCAAAAAATTTCAAGTTTCAATAAAAATCATTATTTAGAAACTAAGAAACGTAAAATAAAGAATGCTGACGAAACAAAAACAAAAAAACAATTCTTTTTTGTCGCCATTTTTAGTGCTACGAAAATTCGTCTTTGGGATTTGCCAAAAACAAAACAAGATGCAATTTTATTTTTTCAGGAGGGAAATATTTTACCGAAAAAACGAAAATGTACCAATTCCCACAACATAAAACTTTATCTTGGTAAACGTACGTTTTGGAAATGTTATTTCATTTGGAATCTTATTTATCAGAGTTCATATGGCGATATGATTGTTTTGAATCTATGCTAAACTCTATATCGGCTCATTTTCCACCGAAATCCGATTGACTATTTTGATTTTAAATAAAGTGTTTTATTTTATGAATTGTCGCAAAAATTTTAAGTGTAGATTGGCGGCACTTAAAAACCGCCAAATCTGTAGCGGCGGTGGCGTTAATACGTAAGTACCGAATTTTTATTCCATACTTTTCTGAATCATATTACTTCAAACATTGGAATATACAAGAAGTATACATAAACACATAATGTTATACCATTTAATTTTTCAAAAAAAGTATTTTGAGAACAATTTTTATCAAAAAATTATAAACTAAAAAACGGAAAATAAAGAATTCTTAGGATAAAAAAAAGATTTTAAGAATTCTTTACATTGAAATAAAAACTTTCATATTGTTTCTTTTTTTATTATTCTTATAGTTCTTAATCAGACGTAAAAAACCATTCTGTAGAGAACCATCATCAAATGAAAAAAAAATATTTACAAGCAAATTTTTTATTGTAAAAATCATTGCACTTACCTGATTTATGATTCCCGGAGAATTCCAAAATGATAAGTTCCTTGTTTGAAAACTTTATTCTCAAATAATAGATACATAGTTTATACCTTCATTACTTTTAGATAACATACTACACAGCAAAATTTTATAATTGATATGAATTTGAATATGTAGCTAAAAACAGAATAGCTGAATTCTAGTTGAACTTATTCTTTCAAAATTAAAAAAAACTTACCAAGAAAACGATTTAAATTAATTAAGAATCAGCACAAATGGCACTATTTCAAGTAACTTGGATAATTTTTTATTGTTGTTTTCCGAATTATATGGATACAGAAATATATACTATTCTATAACGAAGAAGAATATGCTATAACTATTACAATTCTGTATGTTCTGAATTCATATTTATTCACTGGAATGACGAAAGCAATGTTGACTTCACTTTAATTCGTAATGAATTGAAGACAGAAGAAATGCATTTTACCTTAATACACACATCTGTAACAGTATCCGAAATCGGAAGTCATCAGTTGCAAGTTTGTTGATAATGGAAATTAAAAATTATTGAGGAATTTTTCTTCAAATGTTTGGCGTGTTCAGCTGTTCCTGAAAGATTTACTAATATTCTGGAGATTTTTTTTCAAGTTTTTCGGTCTTTTCCTTAGGGAAATTTTGTTTCTTATTTGCTGCTAAAAAATGGCGTCTGATTCTGTCAATGATTTGGATGGAACTAAATGAAAACCTGATAAATTAATGTCTGATACTTACAGGCTCCCGCTAGACGGCGTACTCGAGCGTTGCGATCGCGAATTTAATAGGATAGTATTTTTTATTTTCAAATTTAGTGGATAACAATTGTAAAAAATGAGTGAAAACAATCCCACGGGCAATGCGACGGATTTAAGGTTATGTCAAGGTACGTCTCTTGTGTATTTCAATTGATTGTTAGGTTTTCCCTTTTGAAATTACATTATGACACATTCACATACATTATTAATACAAATACATTTTCCATAGCGAGACGATGAAGCAACCACAAGCACTTCCACTGGCTCAAGAGGTCCACGAGGGGAACGAGGGAAAAATGTACAATACTACCGTTATTATAGAGCGTGGAAGCGAGCGGAGCAGGAAAAAGAGTCGTTGAATAGAACTAGTGATCCTTCTACGACTGCTGATTCTTCTACAATTAACGTCGCAGGTTACGAAATTTAACTTCTTCCGCGCGGAGGGACTCCACGCACTATTTTTTTCATTTATGGAAACTTCCCGCAGAAATAACAGGTGCCATATTATATAGTTTTTGGAAACACAAAAGCTATTAAAATTCTTGTATTATTTTAAAACAACTGATGAAGATACTAATTGTAACATGTGTAGATAAAGAAATATTAAAAAAAAAATTTCCCAGTATTTCAGGACCAGTAAGTATAAAAACTGAGCTGTACGCTGAGGGTTAATAAACTACAGTTTGCAATATTCTATTCTTTTTTAAATTTTTAAGGACAAAATGGTTTCTTTTCTATTACTTTATTTCTATCCATTTTCAACATAATCTCGTCTTTTATCTTCACCGCTTATCAACGTGTCGTTCATGCAAAGAGAGTTTTGTGTATGCGAAACATGTTAAGTGCATTTTAATATTTTTAAGAAGCATTATACTCTTTGTAAGTAGAATAGGCGTCTCACTTTTACGAGATTTCCCCATTCTTCACAATTTTCCCCTCTCCGTTGCCATGTTTTTCCCATAATCTTGCTTTTTACCCAGAAACTATGGTAAAAAAGAGGAGATAATTATGGAGAGTAGGGGAATTGCAGAATCTTGAGACACCTATTCTATTAAGAAAAAAGTAGAGGATTTTATTTATCTTGTAGGCTTTAAGGTGAATATTATCCCAGAAAAGACAATCTTTGCAGTTAATGTTTGACGCAACAATTAGCAGCAGTCTAATATTTAGAAAAGGATTTTGGTTATAAAAAACAAAAATATATACCAGCATCTTTCTTCCTCAATAAAATCTGTAAATGTTACAGATAATTCACAGAAGGGAAGAAAATGGCTTTTTTCTTGGAGAAACGGGGTGAAGTTTTCAAAACCCATGGAATACAGCTCTTCATATACTGACTTTGAAGGATACTTAAAAAGAAAGAAGAGAAAGAATTAGGACGCAAAATAATTGGAAATGTTGAAAATATTTCAAGTAAATATCCTTAAGTACACAGTTCTTCGACCAGTTTTCAAGCTCTATGTTTCAGAAGAATGCACCCATGAAAATATATCGTAGAATTAGGAATATCAAGAAATATTTTAGAAGTAAACCCCTGAGGAAGGGTGCGACGTTCGACGCCTGTAATTGCTGGTATAAGAACACGAAATCCTGTTAATGCTTATATGATTAGATAATGATGCTGATAATATTTTAAAATCTATTTTTTCAGCATTCAAAACTACAAGGTTTATTATTATTTACATGAATTTCACTGTTATTATGCTTTAAATTGTAATTTACTTCTATAGGTGTAAAGGATTTTGCAGCGAAAGTTTTTTTTTTCTCAACAGTATATCATTCATTTGAGTATTTCTCTTCTAAGTTGCCACGTGTATATAACTGCTATAATATTTGCGGAAACTGGATTTCAAGTTTATTTTGAAATAAAGCAAAATTGGAATAAAGTTAAAAGGAATGGTATTTATGTTTCTAAAAAAATATATCATGTATCTTTTGAAACTGAAGTTTTGATACTTACAGAACGATTGCCAGACAGTCCACCATCTCTGCAATATCTTGGAGAAAAACATTCACATAAATTCCGGTATTCCTGAACTTCAGACAATAAATGACATCTTTCAATAAATCTTGCATCGCCACAAATGGATGCTGAGTTAAATCTGAAAACCAAACAAATATAATTTATTATAGTTTTTTCTTTTGAATTCAGGAAAGTGAGGAACAATAGAAATAATACTGGCATCTCAAAGCAATCGCAGTGCCTGTATAAAAACTCATCAAATATTACCTTCGAAAAACAGAATTTTTTTTTAATTCGCAGAATTTCAAGCTATTTAAGACAGTTAAATAGCAAAACGTATGGAATGTTAATAACCAATAACCGGGCACGTTCTTAATTTGCAGTCTTTCTCAGAGAAACATTCATTGTGCATAATAAATACAGGAATGCGGGTCAGCATGAAATATCAAACAATGACTTTAAATTGTATGAATATTAATAACGAAGTGATGATATTTTTTAAAATTATTTTGTATTAATTTAGGTCAAAATAAAAGAAATATATTATATTTAGCATTTTAATAATTTATGCTGACGAAATACCGGCATAAAACACCGGTGTATTTTTCTGCGTTTAATGGTTAAGTCTTCCAAACATGGCTCACTTCCAAACAATACTTTTTCAAATTTATACTTACTTGCAGTTAGGGTAAACCAACCAGTGAAGGAACACTACCCAGTGAAGGAACATTTCATATATATTCATTAAAAATAAGAATTTGAAAGTTTTTCTTTAGATTGATTGGTAACAATAGCTTACTGCCAAACAATAGGAAGTCATCTAGCAATGTTTTGGATTACCTGGTCAAATAGACTTCTCTGGAAAAATTTTTGAATTTGTTATTATCTCTGCAACACCTTGTTTCTTTGAAAAAATTATAAGGTGAGTGTTTGTATTTATATGTTTGAAGTGGAATTAATTGCATGTAATAGTTTTATTTTTCTCACTGTGAAAAAGAGAATTCAAAATATAGTTATTGAAGTTACGTTTTATTTTTTTTAAGCATCATAGCATAATAAAGTACTGAGATAAGGGGGTGTTTATTCACTGGATCACCAAACGATGAAAAACCAGTGAAGGAACAAGTGTTCCTTTACTGGTTTTTTTTCTAAGTTAATGAAAATAAAAGATAAACTTTAATTTTCTTGTACCTTTAGTGATGTTCCGCATCAAAAGTATGTTAAAAATACGAAAAACAACTTCTAACCAGTGAGGGAACAGGCATGTTCCTTTACTGGGCATAGATTTCCCAGTGAATGAACAGTATGTGTTAATATGTTGACACTTTAATTTTCAATTCATGATTACAAAAAAAAGTTAACATTTTCCAAGTATTTATATGTTATAATTTCAAGAATAGGCTTGTTTTTAAATATTTGTATGGCTTATAAATTCATAAAGAGCATTAAAAAATAACCAAAATTAAGTGTTCCTTTACTGGGTGTTCATTCACTGGTAAGAGCTGTTCCTTCACTTGGTCTTCTTACTACTTGTTATTTGAACCTCCAAAACTTTAAAACAATATTATGTAAGTTCTCTACAATTTTTTTACATAATTTGCAATTAGTAACAAATATATTGACACTGTCATTTAACTAAAATTACGAATTTTGAAATTAATATGATTTTTTAAAAGGCAAGCGAAGCTTAAGTGTTCCTTCACTGGTTAGTTTACCCTATAATAGAACCAGACGCTTCGAACTAGTAACTATGGTCGAATAAGCAAATATCCTTCCTTCGGTTTTAATTAACCCAAGTTCTGAAAACCGAAACTATAGCATATAATTGGCCGTATTCTGACTGATTTCTGGCTTTAAAACTTCAATAATAAAACAAATAAATTTCGAGTGATGTATAGACATCTTTAAGCAATATACAGAGCAATATATTGGTTTTTAGAAACAAAAAATTTTAGAATTCAAGTTAAATTGCTTTTTAATGATCAACGCTGATTACGCGCAATGCTTAGGTACGGCGGGGATATCAGAAAAAAATGTATATAAAGATGCGAGTGCCACTTTTTGTGCATAAAACCAGTCTGTCAAAGCGTGTTGCTTTTCTAAAACCCCCCGGGAAAGGCCGGGATAGCCTGGTCGGTAGGGTGCTGGGCCCATATCCAAGAGGTCGTGGGTTCGATCCTCGCCAGCCGAAGACTCCCCGTGTAGTAAATGGTGACTGATGCACGTTAAATCTGTCGAGTCTCAAAGTTCTCCATGTTCCCATAGCAAATCAATACCTCTGGGGGTACTGATCCAGGAGTTTCCTTGTCTTCTGGATTTGTTCAAAATTACAAGGCTACGGAGTTGAACATTAGTAGTCGTAAACCCATGAAATTGGGTCGGCTGTTCAACGACGGTTGTAAAAAAAAAAAAAAAAAAAAAAACTCGGAGAAGTTACATGTCCTTATCCCCTATATTAGTCCCTGAGACGCACGCTCAAATAACCACACAAAGTAGCTGAACAATATGAATTTTTAAGCTTTCTGTTCTAAGTTAATGCGATTTTAGCTCGCATAGAAGAAGAGAAAAGAAACAACACGTTGCCATATTAATAAATTAGAATTATAAAAGTTTTCTAATTGGTCAAAGTTAGTCCTGCTTACAAACTTCAGTTTCAGCGGAATCGTACGAATGGCGATTTCGCCATTCCGTACGATTCCGGTGAAATTGAAGTTTGTGGAGACGTGGCTAACCTTGACCAATTAGAAAATTACTATATTCTAATTTATTAATCTGGCAACGATATGTTTCTTTTCCTTTTCTTCTATGCGAGCTAAAATTGCAATACTTAGAACAGAAAGTTTTAAAATTCAGCTGAACAGATGAAAGAGGCTAATCGGATAGCGGAAGAGAGGAATGATGTTGAACTGAGAAAAGTCATAGCTTTCGAGGACAATGTAAAGTGTTGTCAAATAAAAATTTTAGATAATTTTTGTTTGTTATGCATTTTTTTTATTAGTACTTATTTTAAAATTAAACATTTGTTTTATTAGTACTTATTTTAAAATTAAACTGTATAGTAGTTTGATAATTTTTATCGTAAAATATTTCATTACCAAGTGATTACCAGTGTGTTTAATATTTTATGAATAATGGGCGCAGTTAGCTTTTGGTAGCATGGGAATCTCGAGTAAAATTAAGTATTTTAGGGCATTTTTCAAATACATCACATTTAATAGATAGGCTTTTTAATACATCACAACAGTTTATAACATAATTCTGAAAGCTCCATTTGTTCGTAAACAGCTTTAAAATAAAATCTTAAAATTTAAAAGGAATCATATGGATTCATATTAAATTAGAGATAAATGAGTTCTTAAAATTCAATAATTTTTAATAGTATTGGGAACCTTTAACATTTAGATATCTTTTAATTATATGGTTTACTAAATGCAAATAAAAAAAAACTTGGTATAAAGTATTTTAATGTAACCAAAATTCACCAAATTTTCTTGTACAGTTCTCAAAGGCTCAAAGGAAAAAATGCTGCCACTTCGATTGGCTCAGTATTTTTGTGCTCAGTGTCTGTAATTTACTAAACTTTTGTATATTTTTCTTGGTTTTTTAGTTACAATTTATTCTGCAGTTGTTATATTTTCGTATTTGTTGCTAACTTGAAGCATCATCACATAGTTGATATACTTATGTTTTTTCTATCGCTTACAAATAAGTTAATTGAAACATTGCTAATTTGTTCACAGTTAAGTAAAAAAATTAATAAATAGGCAAATATAAAATTAATTTATAAATTTTTATTTAAAAAAGCGAAATTTTTTCATTCCATCATGGTAACAATTCTGTCACGAATTCCTGTTTTTGCCCTCACATGCTGGCAAGCCAGTATTAAATAGCATGTCATCTTCTGAAAAGGTATCATATGTAATATGATACCCATCACTCATTCACATATTGTGCAATACTACACAGGCATTCACAATCATGCCAGCAATTGTTGGTGTATAGTGTAACACTCTTTCTTTTAAGAGGAGTCTAAATCTTCCTTTCAATAAATCATTGCATCTTTCAATGACGTTCCTCCCGAGTCAATGTTTGTAATAATAATTTTCTTCCACCAATGATGCTCCTGCTCGAGGGGTCATGAGCCATGGCTCAAGTGGATAGCCAGACTCACCTAAATAAAGAAATTAATACAAAGTTTAAAATGGTACATCTAAGTCTTAAATTCTACCTCTATGCTTAAATATAAAATAAGTCAGGAATAGTTTAAAGTTTAGACTATATCTTAATTATATAATTAAAGTTATTATTATATAACTTAAAATCAATGCAATTAGAATGCAGTTAGCACTGAAT